AGTTATATATATATATATATAGTTATATATATGCATATAGTTATATATATAGTTAAAACATCCATCCATCCATCCATCCATCCATTATCTTTAAGCCACTTCTTCCATTTTGGGTCACGGGGGTCGCTGGTGCCCATGTCCAGCAATCACAGTGCGAGGGGCGGGGTACACCCTGGACGGGTCGCAAGTCCATCACATTGTTAAAACATATTTTTTCATATTAAAATAAAAGGTTTTTTACTTTATATAAATTTTAACAATGTCCTTAACAATGTCATGTGGTGTAATAACATAAAAATATCTAATTAAAATAGGCAAACAATTTTATTAATTTTTTTAACAATAAACTTCTCATGTTATAATGTGATACAATGTGTTTTTCATTTTTGATGGGACAGCAACTGTAAGTTTCCTTTAGGTAAAGTTATTAAACAGCATGGGATAAATTTTCATTGTTATGCTGATGATACTCAGTTATATTTGTCCATTAAACCCAATGAATCCAATCAGTTACTTAGACTACAAGCATGTCTTAAAGATATAAAAACTTGGATAATATTGTCTTTGTTCATTATGTTTACAGCTACCAGCTTATTTATAAAAAAAATGTTCATTTGCTCGTCACTGACGTTCAGTTTTGAAGGAGCAAATGTACACAGATATTCACATACGGAGCACATACTGAAATAATGTATTACATTAAAAATTACTATAATCTTTTATTTAAAACGTTGTTAAAATTGTTGATTAGCATAAACAAAACACAGCATAAATGTTGATGCCGTCCTTGCTTCTGTTTTAAGGATATGAGTGAAAAGTTTTGTTTCTCTCTCGTAGGTAGATATTGCTTTTTCTGAAGGCGAGAGAGAACGAGAGAGGGAACGGGCAGAAAGAGAAGGACGGAGAGAGATGGGCATCCACAGCGTCACTTTCACTTTACTGACAGGTAGGAGACTCAGAGAAACAAACATGGAGACGACGCCGACTCTGCATGGCCTGACCTCATGAAAGCTTCTGTGACAAATAAGAGATTCACACAGGGCTCACAAACAGTGATGTACATAATAAAAGACATATTTGCTTCAAGTATACATTTTTGAAGGCAACATATTGTTAAAACTTTACCAAAAAGCAGCTAAACGGAAATCTTGACCTTTCCAAGAGAACCTGGAGAATAATCTCAGTAATGGACAAAACCAAACGTGAAATGTGATATGTTGGTTCCCTGTCACTGAAGGATTTGAATAGTGAATGTCTGAATGTTTATTTCAATTGTTGGAGACAGTGCAGAGTAATGGGCCCAGCAGGAGCAATTTTATACACCACCAGGAACTATGGTGGAGCCATTGGGTGGCCAGTGGTGGCCTTGGCCCACATAAATTAATCTTCGGCCACCCTAATTATTTGAGGAAACTTTATTTTTAAGTAGTATAAAAAATAGAAAGTATAGTTTCCTTAAGTAATAGGGGTGGTTAATTTACATATGCAGTAGTCGCTCGCTGCTTCGCGGTTCATTTATCACAGACTCGCTCTATCGTGGTTTTTCAAAATAAGATTGGACATGACACACAACTGGCTGATTGATGGATGAGCCGATGGCTGGTCGGCATGGAATTTTTATTTAAAATCAATTATTTAAAATTATTTAGCACCTGCTGCACCTTTGTGCAGCCCTTACTGCTGCAGGATAAACTTCCTGCTGCAGCTGATCAGCTGATCACTGTGCAGCTCGGAAAAGTGAGCGTGGTCAAGAGCGCTTGCAGATGGCAAAGAGCAGAGGAGGCAGAGAGTTGAAATCATGACATTCTGTGCTCTTTTAGAACGTTTAAAGTTTAGAAACATTGTTTAGAATATTGCAAGAGTGTGGGAAGGGTTTAAAATGCCTTCATATATACTGTATGTGTATATATATATATATATATATATACTAAAATAAACTACTACTTACTACTTGTACTTCTATTCCTACTTGCAGTTTTTCACTTATGGGGCTTCAGGTTACGGATCCCCCGTGATAAACGAGGGACTACTGTCTACATGTCCGTGTTGCGCTAACAGCGCTATGTTAGTGCCGACTGTTGTGGAGACAGTTGTTGAGATGGGGGAGGGGGTATGTGTGTGAGAAGCAGAGCACTTTGTCTGTAGCTTTGTAGCTTTTAACTAGTGCATCTGTATTGTGTGCCACTCACTATGTTAGCGTTATGTCAGTGCTGGCAGTTGTCGACAGAGGGAACTGAATTGTGGGCGAAGAACATTTCGGTCGGCAGGGCGGTCGGTTCTGTTGACAGGGCAGGGTGCCCTGCTGGGATAACGGTAGGGGAAAGACCCGTAGTGACTATCTTGGATTTTGACTTGGCCACAATATTTTTAATAGGGACTGTTTTAATGTCTAGTTGCAGCTACTCACCCAAATGGAAGTAGGCCCGCCTGTTGCTTATTTATCAAGTTATTTAATTCACGAGTTTTACTAATATACATATATGGTGTCAGCCATCTTGGATTTTAAACAGACAACCTATTTTCGATTATGACTTTCTTATAGTGTTGTAATACTCTAGACCAGTCTTAGTCTTGAGACCGCTCTCAAGACCACTTTTTGATGGTCTCGGTTTTGTCTCGGACTCAATTGCATTTGGTCTCGGTCTTGTCTCTGTCTCGGACACTGAGGACTCGGGATTTTATTTCAAGACCAGTCAAGACCACAACTGTGGAAATATCACTAAATTGCCAGAATATTGTTCAGTTTATTTAACATCTTTGTTTTTATTGGATGCAAAATGTACTGGTTCAAATCCAAGTGATAACGTGACTCATTGCTAAATACATTTTTTTGTTAACGCTGTCACACCCATCCCCTTTCACTCGCATGTGTCACTCCCATTGTTGCCAGATTGGGCGGTTTACTGCCAATTGGGCAGTTTTCATTCTGATTTTGCTGGGAACTCTGGGAAGATTTTTGTTGGATTGTTGCGTTTTGCCACATATTGTTAAATTACCTTGGCTTGCACTGATGTGCGTTCATGTTGAAACAGTAAATATACTGTAACAATATATTGATTGTGTGGATTTTTGTGTGATGTGGCGGTTTTTAATAGATTTTTGGGCTGGAAAACCTTGACTCTATCTGGCAACACTGGAAGAAAGTGAGAAGTGATTGTCTGGGTGTGGGAGAAGATGTCTGCCATATCATCAGTTATAAAATGTGGCTATTTAAATCACAAAGAATATACTTGTAACTAATATCCATTTATGTAACATTTTAGGTGTATATCTACTACTTTATTGAAACCACTGTGCAACTATATGGTTATCCTTGGTTTTGAGTTCGGACTTATGAAGAGTGTTTTACCACTGGAGTTTTTTAACACTTGGCATGTGATGAAACTGCTTCCAATTTAATAGTTGTGTAATTTTATTGTTGAAACACATGAAGTTAGGCCACTGAATGTCTGATTTCTTTGTTATGTAGCTTTGAAAATTTATAAAAGCTGATATATTCATTCAAAAGCAAACAAAGTTGCAGTATGTAACTTTTATAAAAATATTTTATAATAAAATTTTATATTTTATTTATTTTATTTGAGGTCTTAGTCTCGACTTGGTCTCGGACCCTAAAACTCTTGGTCTTGTCTCAGTCTCGGTATACTCTGGTCTTGGTCTTGACTTGGTCTCGGTTTAGGTGCTCTTGACTACAACACTACTTTCTTATGCCTAGATGAAGTCACACGCCAAAATATAAGTTGACGCATTGTTTATTTTTCAAGTTATCAAGCTCAGATGTTAACATATACTGTATACATATATGGCAGCAGCCTGGCAACTCAAAATTTGAAATGAAACGAAATGAAACTTTCTTGTGTGGACCTCACTTGTATTCAAGTTATCGTTCTCACAACATTTACCGACCCAACAGACGGCTGAAGGCTATATCCTATTCCCCATTCTTGCTTGGAAACGGGCCCAAAATGATCATCTGTGACTAATGTATTCACCCTATATTGTACATTCAGTGTACACTGCCCAGTCATGTGTACTTGTGTCAAACGTCTTAGTTGGAACAGTCTGATATGAATACATTTGCCATTATACACCTAATGCATATGAGTTCATTCATTGAGAATGTTCCCTTATATTGTAAATTCTGACAGCATTTGCTAAAAGTTTGCAACCCAATGTTTTGTGCTATTGTTTCTATCTGAAGCTTGTTTTTACTGCTCCCAAGTGGCCACAAAAACCTCCTGCAAATATAAAATATTGAAAGCCTGAGGTAAAATATTTTGCAGCTTTTATTTTAGTTGATTTTTTTTTTTTTTTTTTTTTTTTTTTTTTTTTTTTTTTTTGCTTTCACTACAGCTTGATGTTTCAAAAAGGTACAGAACATATGCATGTTAACAAGTTCTTTAAAAATTATTTTTATAATTTGGTATTTTTTTAAGGATAACTTACTAATACATGTGGGGCTTATTGTAATCTTGTAGCCCATTCTCTGTCTTGAACAGGTATTTTAAGGTGTTGTGTCTTTCAGAATCTCTTTGTAAGCCCAATATTTTCATGATATTCAAAGCTGGTTTATTTTATGATATGGAACAATGATCATATTTCATTTTGAGTGAAAATTAATCTAACTAGAAATTTTGAATTTTATGCAAAAAAGCAACTGTACAAGAGTCCAGAGGACCTGACTTAACCTTGTTTGATTTTTCTACCTGGATTATAGACAATATGACTTCTCTTGCTTGTTCTCGACAAGGCAGCTTTTCCCTCCTGCTCCTGATTCCCTCCTGCTTTGCTCTTTGTCTTGTGATTCCTATTTGAACCTCTCACTACATATCCTCCGAATTGTAAATTATGGATCTGGTCAGCTGGTCTCTCAATGTAATTGATCAAATTTTCTCGACAAGAAGACAGGGCGAAGGAGAGCCCTCATGCCCTGAAGGGACACTCGCAGTTGGATACACTATGGATTCCTGGGGCCAGTGGAATATGGTCTGTCTGTTTGTATTGTCTGTTGAGGACATAGAAGACGCGTACATAACTGGATTTATGATAACCGTTTTTTTGCTTTTTGGTATTGGCGGGTACCTGGCATATCGACAAATTTGGAAGATGGCAGCAGCGGTTCTGGTAATTGTAAGGCTGCCTGCCTTATATAAAAGAATGTACCAAGCGGTAAGGTCTCAAACTCAGATGCAGCATGAGCTGAGCCATAAGCTGGGCGCGATTTATGAGAATCGCAGGCCACTTGCCACTCCTGGGACTCACTGGCGGGAAGGAATCGACCTTGGAGAAGGCTATAAGCTTGGTCCAGTGGTGTGACCACAAAATTTGGCCGTTTGGAATCACCAGTTAGACATACCAGCAGAACTATGAAGTCAGACATGGAAATTCAAGCAGAAGCTGTCTAACCCCAAATAATTGTGTTCTCTGAATTTGGCTTCCCCACTCGGCCTTGAATTGGCAGCTATCTCAAACTTCTCCTGGTTGTTTATGTGAATGAGAAGCTCCGCTCCCCCTCACCCTCCACTATCACTCCCCTCCCGAGAACATCTGTGGATCTGTGTCAGAGTTGAGCCGGCTGATAGACACTGTGCCATCTTTATCAGGACTATGGAACTTTCTGGCACGGTCCTCGGACAACTCACTGCCCTCATCGGCCTCCTCGTGCATAAATGTATTATGATGTCATCAGTATATTGCTGTTTATGTGCTGAGGTCATCTTTTGTAACTTGCACACTGTGTCCTGTCAATGACACAGTGCGAGATTTGATTTTTTTTTTTTACACCTACACTCCCCCTCGTGTTTCTTTTCCTTATCTGAAAAAAAGGCTGCGCCTCTCGAGGTCGGCGGCCTCAGTCACGTCCGTCTCCCCATGTTTGTTTGTTATGTTTCTCTCAGACGGGCTGTACTGAAATGTAATTTCACTACGCTTCGGTGCAATGACAACAAAGTTGATTCTGATTAAAATACTGTAATTCAAAAAGTACAAAAGTTACAAATACAAGAAGTCAAAGCTCACTGTTCTTAATGGAGCCAAAGGCTTTGATACATGAAGGAGTAAAATAGCACAAAATATACTTTGATTGCAAAAAAGCATACAGAAGAAATTATAATGTGAAACACATGAATGGTGTATAAGCATTTATACTGCATTCATTCATGCATTATACATTTCAGATGAAAGACGAAACGTTTCTACAATTTTTTTGTTTTGTTTTGGGTTTTTTTGAATGTCCAGAGGACCAGATTTAATGTTTTTAGATTTTTGTACCTGGATTATTGAGCATGCATTAGGACATTTATACAATAACATAAGAAATGTTGGCCCAACTAAAGGACTAATGACCTGCTCTCCCCTCAGGTCCTAGTCGCAGATTCAAAAGAGTTGTAGAAACCATTCAAGCTCAGCTCCTCAGCACCCATGATCAACCCTCAGTGCAAGCACTGGCAGGTGAGTACCTCTAAGATGCACTTACATAGCACATCAAGAGAAAATTTTTAATTGATGGTTTGTTCAACTTTATCCCTTTGCCCTTCAGATGAGAAGAATGGTCAGGTTTCCCGCCAACCTATCAGTCCTTCACGTCAGAACTCTCGGCATTCTGAAAGTGGATCGGATCGAGTAGAAAAGGAGCATGTAGTAGATGGAGTGAACACGAGTGGCAGCAGCAGCGGGACCGTATTGCAACGACGAGAGTCGGGGAAAGACAAGACTAAACTCCTTTCATCGCCCAATGGAACACAGTCTCATCCATGAAAAGAATGTTAAGAAAGAACTGCGAGGATTGTCTGCCGAGCTTCTCTCTCTTCCTCCACTCAGTCCTTTCTGCATACCTTCGTTCCCATTTCTTTACTTCTTTCCACGCATCCTACCTTTAGTTCCAGGCAATGGGAAGAAGGGGGAAGACCTTCCTTGAAACTGATCAAGGGACATGACAGAGGACCCCCCCCAGAATTGGCTGCCTACAGAAGAAATGTATTCTTGTTGAGACGAGCAATGTTGATGTCTTGTCAGACCTCAAGGGCAGGGTGGATAGTGTAAAAATGGGACAAACTCCACTTTTACACAAGAAAAGCTCAAAACCTTGGAAACTAGTTTGTCCAGCAACTGCAACAAATCAAGAAAGCACATAATGTTTCCACCAAGCAATCACAAGCAACTTTTGCTTCAGACTTAGCTGGAAAGAACTGAATCAGTCAACAAGAAAAAAGTTGACACATCTAAGCATTCTCATTCTTCATTCCCTGGTCATTCAGTATCATTACCCGCATCATCAAGTCTCCCAAACATCAACTGATGAGTCGTATGGCTTTCCTCCCATCTCCACACTCTGTAAGTGAAGACAGATGTGTTTCCTCAAGCAAAGGCTCATAATAAGGGTAAATAAGCCAAGAGTTATGCGTGTCTTGATTGTTGAAAGCTGATTGTGTCTAGTAATAACTAGCAAACCTCACCGTAAGAGATAAGCTAACACGATCACAGAGTTAGGGACAATCTGACAAAAAAAGAAGTAATGGAGAATGGATCTATGAAGCTATGTAGTAGAGTTCTACATCTAAGTAATTGCATCAAAGTAAAGACACAATGGTTCCTCAAATGTATGAAGTCCTGCGATTATGTCAGATTTACACTAACAAAGCTATGATACCACATTGCCTTTACCGGAAGAGAAAAAAGTGGATAACTGCTTGGATTTAGCCACTTTTGAGAAAACAAAGTCACACAACAAGAAGAAACTCTCAGAAGTCAAAATGCTGAATGAGGAACAAAAGACAAATCAGAGGATGGATTGCACAACTTCATAAGACAGAAGATATGAGAAGAACAATAAGCCAAAAGGTTTTTGGGGGCTAATGTAGAAATGGAAATTAGTTTTATTTCAATGTTTCTTATTGTGTGTATTTTACAATATTCATATGCCATATATATAACAGAACAAGGTGTTGCACTCTGCAGTTTCTTCTGCCCTACATGCTGGCCGTGAAGCTTTACCTTCCAACGTGGACTCTCAGAAAGGGGGAAATGATCATTCCATTCAAATATCCATCCATCCATCATATTCCTCTTGTTCTGAAGTCAGATCTCAGGGGCAGCAGCTTGATCAGGGAGGCCCAGACATCTCTTTCCACAGCCACCTCTTCCAGCTCTTCTGGGATGACACCAAGGTGTTTCCAGGCCAACCGAGAGATGTAGTCTCTCCAGCATGACCTGGGTCTTCTCCGGGGTCTCCTCCCAGTCTCACATGCCCGAAGCACCTCCCTAGGGAAGCGCCCAGCGGGCATCTTTAGCAGGTGCCTGAACCACCTCAACTGGCTCCTTTCGATGTGGAGGAGCAGCGGTTCTACTCTGAGTCTCTCCCGGATAACTGAACTTCTCACTCTACCTCTAAAGGAGAGTCCAGCTACCCTGATGAGGAAACGCATTTCAACTGCCTGTATCCACAGTCTCATTCTTTCGATCATTACAGAGTTTGCGGCCATAGGTGAGGGTAGGAACATAGACTGACCAGTTAACTTACAGCCCAGCTCCATCTTCACCACAACAGACTGGCACAGAGTCCTCAAGGATTTGCTATGACCCTAATGACCCAACCATGAAAATAACTCTGTTCAGACTAGTTTCACCTAAAACCCTTTTTGAATGTTATCTACAACATTCAACAATTTCCTGCGGGATCAAAGTTCTTATCTTATAACTAAGTGATAAGTGGCACGGTGGCACAGTTGGTAGAGCTGTTGCCTCTCAGCAAGAAGGTCACTGGTTCAAATCCTGGCCTGGAACCTTTCTGGGTAGAGTTTGCATGTTCTTTCTATGCAAGCATAGGTTTCTTCCCACAGACCAAAAACATGCATGTTAGACTGATTGGTAACTCTGACTTGTCCCTAGGTGAGAGAGTGAATGGTTGTTTGTCTCATTTGTCTCTAAGTGTCCCTGTGATGGACTGGAGACCTGTCCTGTGTGTACCCCCCTTTCACACAGTGACTGCTGGACCCCATTGACCAGAATAGGAAGAAGTGGGTAATGGATGGATGGATGGATAGAAGATCACATCAGTGTAACAGTAAGGAAAGACTGCAGCAACCAATGGGCTTTTTCTGTGTTTATATGGGCATGTGAATTAAAAGAAATCCAAATCCTTCCTTCAACTGAATAAGAAACAAAATGGGGGATGACAGAAGTGAGGAAGTGATATGTGTAAGCTGTTATTAATCAAACAACTAGAACGTCTACATGCAATGGAAAATGATAGGAGGACCAGATGAGGAAATGGAAGGTTAGCACTGAGCTGAATAAGAAAGCTCCAACGAGGAAACAAAGGGACTCAAGTGTGTTTGTCTTGAAGGAGACTCTGCCCTTACACAGCCTGGGGAGGAAAAATGAAGCCAAACTATAAAATGAGTAGTACTTCTTGTATTTTTCACTGTCTGTTCCATATTTATGTTGCTGCTCAAACCTCTATTTATACTCTGTGTTTGTTTCGGTGTTATAGTTATATTTTGAAGTTGGAACTCACCATATGAATGACAGAACATATTTTTGTAATTCTTTTGACATTTTCTTCTTTGTTTGTTGAAAATTTCACTTTTTCTATTTATTTTGCTGTTTATTGTTTGAAAAAGAGCTATTTGTCGTGAATGGAAATTGATGAGGAAATGTCACAGCAACGTTTGATGAACAGGCACCGTCTAAACTACTCCAGGTTTTTTTTTTTACTTCCACTTTCTGTTGTTATCTCTGCTTTATTCTCATGCAAACTAAAAACTGTGATTTTTAAAAATACTTTACAAAGTAGAGATTACAAAAAAAAAAAACAGTTTTTGGTGGACACATGTAAACTTTACGGAAGTCCCTGGTTTATTGAGGGGGATCTTTACCCTGAAGACCCACGACAAGTGAAAAACCGCAAAGTAGGAATAGTAGACCAAGTAATAATTAGTAGTTTATATATTTTAAACCCTTTCCACACTCTTACAATTTTCTAAACAATGTTTCTAAACTCTAAATGCTCTAAAAG